ATTTGAACTTTTCAAGTCCAACTCTCAATGGGCTTCAAAATAAAAATTTAAATAGAATTTGACAATTAAACATGAATAGGATTCCTCAAAACATTCCAAATAAAATTCATCTTGATGTACACTTCAATTATAATTCTACATTTATTTTAAAAAAAGAATTCAGGTCACCCCAAAATTCTAACACTATGATGGTCTTATAAAAGAAAATCAGAAAAGTGCTCCATCTCGAACAGATGACAGAAGAAGCACGAAGCAAAGCAGGTGGCAGCAGGTCTTTGGTGCGAAATGGAGGAGATGAGATTAATTGATGTCATTTGCTACACAGCTTCAATATCGACATTAGCAAATGCTTGCATATTCAACATTGAATTGTCTACCAACTTTTAAGCTGACATAATATTATAATATATTTTACGGTTTCATAAGGTTAGATTTACCCATTGTCTTACTGGTGCATGTTTTAGTTCTTTTGTAATTGAAAACTGAATGTTTAGCATACAGCCTTAAGTTAGTAGTTTTTATGTATTATCTTTCTCAGTCTTAGCTGAAATTGTCTGCCAAAGATCACAATTACATTGGATCAGAGCACTTTGCTGCTAGGACTATTTAATATCTAGTGCTGGCGAAGTTGAAATAAATGTGTTTCTGAGAATTCAGTAGCTGAACCAAGAAATAGTTACGCACAAGCAAGTATTGCCACTTCTTTATGCCGGGTAATAATTTTCGTGATCTTTGCAACTTGGCGGCAAAATGATCCATTTGGTTCATGGATTATTAGAATGTTAGGTGAGAACGCGGAGGGCTGGAGGTTGTGGCTGCTGGCCTTGGAGGGTGAAGATCATGTTGAGAGTTAGAAACTCTAATTCTACCATCAAGAGCAATAAAATTGTAGAAAGAAAATAGACATAAGAACACATAAAATTTACAGAGGTTCACCTCAATGTGAAATTATTTTCTCATCCGCTGCAGTAATTTCCATTCATGAAAAAAAGTTTACAAAAGAAAATTTGCACACCCTATCTTTTATAACCCCTTTCTCTTTTGGATGGTAATACAATACCCTGATAACAGGGGCGGAGCCAGGATAAAAGAGTTATGAGGGTAAATTTCACAAAATTTTAATTGTGGAGACAAAATTGAAAATTATAAATCTTGAAAAATCTTAATTTAATGTTTTGGAATTGAAATTTAGTTTCGGGGCAGCTGATTCCACTGGTCCCACACTAACTTTGCCCATGCCTGATTACGACAAATTAACGTACACTAGAGAAATATGTACCAAATTAACAAGACTTTCCAACGAAGTAATTTTCTGTTTCTCTTGGTCCTTGACAAAGGTTTGAATTCAAAGGGCTGGGTTGCTTTTGCAGATGTATTTGTTTCAGCTATGAATGTAGGTAAACTCTCATCATTCTTCGTAAAAACACCGAAAGGTACACTTGCATGTTATCAAATTTTCCTTGAACTAAGAGATAAAAAAAGGAACTAAGGTATTAAATAAGGATACATTTATTTATTTATTTAAATATGATCTTCATAATTACAATCTAGTTTCCATGCAAGGTCGAAAGAAATCAAAATAGCAAATGCAAATCTCTCTTAGAGCTGTCAGCATATTCCACAATACTAAGAAACACATTCTCATGACAAGGTAAGACAATTTTGGAATTGTTGTCAAATCCAAACTGTTCTTGTGCCAGATGAAGCAAGAATTTGAAGAGAGGATGGTTTAATAAGCTTAAATTGACAACATATCTCTTGCAACTGTCGCCTACATATACCACAAAATGACCTTCTGGAACATCTTTTGGTACAAACTCATAATCTTCATGCACGCTGCTTTTAGGATAATCCCATGTTAAAAGGTTGAACATTCTGGAAGCTGTTCTTTTGAACTTCCTAAGGTATATTTTGAGACAATTTTCTCTCCTCATTCTCATGCATGTAGGAGGGAGTCTCTGAGAGAGAAGCGAGCGCGCGTATGTATCTATCAACGGCCTGTTTCTGTGTATATGTATTCTTGAATGACTATATATAGGACATAAAAGATATTTCAGAAGGGGTACAAGTCACCTTTTTTCTTCAAGACACATTATCTTTGTCTGCTGCATCATTAACTGTTAACCAGTTAAAATAATAACTTATTTAAAAGTTTAAATAAGCCCGTGTTTTTCTGTCATTAAAGTAGGAAAATGAGTCTCGGAATAGTGAATTTTTGAATAATGTGTGGTTAAAAAGAAGGAAAAAGTTTTAAGGTTACATTTAAAATGTTTTATTATGAGAATAGATGGTTAAAAATGAGTTTGTGAGAAAAAAATTTGAAATAATGATGTACAAACAGGGCCTAAGTTAGCGAGTGATTGTACTTGTACCAATTGGTTACCATCTAATTATCTGTTTTTGACTTTCTATACACCTGCATGTGGAGTGTTGATGATCTGTATGTGTATATGCATTCACACCAGCTATTCTTTTCCTCTCTCTCTCTCTAATTACTATTCTAATTATATCACGCTAATTAGTTGATGAATTATTCATGAAAGCACTTAAAATATACACACAAAATCTTATGATTATCAAGAATCAAAACGAAAAGGACTTGACTTTATCAACATTGAAAGCCTTGGTTGCTTTTGAGTTTGGACATTCTAATATATGTATCATGCTCGTTTAATATAATTGATCTAAAAATATACATATTGAGAGCACACAGAATGATTGGTGGGAAGACAAGTTGGGTATTATCAATTGGTGATTTTCAGAAGGACATGTTAGTACTATATAAAATAGCTAACGGTTTAACCTATAAAAAAATCTTGGTTTTCTAATCAAATATGAATTTTGCTAGACGAAAGGATCACATGGGCCCTGCCTGTTTGGCGCCCTCTATTCGAACAGGGCCCACGTGACCCTATTCGAATAGCTTTTTCCACCATTCCTTGAAAAAATGGAAATAGGTTCATGTTGAGAATTTATTGTCAAATCCCATTTGAAGTACAAAGCTGGATCTTTGTATTTTATAAATTCCCATATAAAAATGGTTAGAGCTTGGAAGGAAAAATAAACTTGTATGATAAGATGGAACATAGAGAAAAAGGGATGCAAGCAAATATTTATCATTTATCATGTTCGGTGATGCGTGATTCAGAATCCTATTTCGAGCATCTAATTCATGAACATAGACTTTTGCTCTCATGAAGGACGAGTAGTTGGCTGTTCTGATTTGGGTTAAAAGAATTTGAGGTTATTGAACATTTAAGTGAAATTATGGAATTTTCCCAAGAAGTTCGTTCACTAAGAGGCTATTTGTGCATCATTATAATATAAGTATGATTTACTAGGAATTGTGCCTCAACGTGGATTTAAGTTGTATCATCAATGATTTGAGCCCAAGACATCTCGTCTCAAGAAGAACTTAAGTTAAATGTCGATACCAATTGAACAAAAAAATTAACAAGTACAAAATTATGATAAATATTTGTCCATCATTTTAAAGTACATTATAACTTACTTAAAAAGTTTATCTAAAGTAAAATTTACTTATAAATTAAAAAATATATTTAAAATAATTAATATTTTATTAGTGAAAGTTAAAACAAATAGCTTACTTATTTAATAGCAAAGTAAATCAAATCTTGAATACTAAAGTAAACATTACTTGTAAAAAATTAAAAGAAACTTTATAATTTAATTTTTTAGTTTAGACAAACACGCTTGACCAACAACTTTCGTATCAGAGATTACTTCTCAACCAACGGGAAAGGATTTTACGGTAGATTTTCTTTTCTATTCTATTATTATTATTATTATTATTTTCAATAAAGCCATTTAATGTGAGGGTTCTTATTATCCGTAACCTCGAATTTCTCCATGTATTTCTCCAAACCACATGCTTCATATATATATATAGATGAAGGTCAAAAACCCATATTTTTTTCTCTTATATTCGTGCATTTAGATATTTATATCCGAATAGAATTTACTTAAAAAGAAAAGATAGAAAAATATGGCTGCCAAGAAAAATGCAGAAACTGCAATCTTCATATGTACATTGGCGATCATTTTATGTGGGAGCATCGGCGGAGCAGACCCAGATATATGCATCGAGGAGTGCATGCCAACATGCATGAAGGTCGATGGCGCCATCGTCTCTACCTGTACAAGTGCGTGCGATAAATACTGCAAACAAATTCGTGGCGGCCATCTACTTAAGTTTGTTAAAGGCCATCGAGTTAGAACATAATTATTATAATTGCTACACAATTCTGGACAATTCACTAGTACGTAATGATTTTATATTGTAATTCTGTGGAATGCTATTCATTTCAGCAAGCCGAATATATCATTAAAATATTGGAGCGATAGAGATTTATTTATTTATAATTTATATATGTAAATTTCAAGTTTTTCCATGACCAGAATCTATTGTATTATGGCATTCTTTCCTGTGACTAATCGATGAAGATGTGTAAAAAAATGGAGATTAATAAGCTATTAGTGAAAAATTAATGTAAACAGTTCACTATTTTTATAATTATACAATTAGGTGATTCATTGTGAATATATTTATTTATTGCTTATTTGAGTGGAAGGGCAAATTTGTGTCTTTACAACAACTTAATGGAAAATTTGGATGGAACAGTCATTTGAAACAGTAGCTACTAATTCATAAAAAGTTAAGGATAATGATGTTAAGAATTGAACTTTGAGGATAGAAGAAGTGTAAAGATGGACTTTCAGGTCTCTTTTGTTGGCAGATTTTTTGAACACGATCTGGTAACAAGTAATTGTAAGTGATCTAAAATGATCTAATTATTTTGTTAAATTTAGACGAACGACAACGTGGAAACCAGACGAAACCAGAAGCCTGCATCGATTTCATACATATATACGTGTAAGCAACGGAGACATTAATCAATTAATCATTGACCAACGTTTCTTGTTTGATACATTTCTTTTCCAAATTTCCCAGTGGCTATTTGTTCTCCTGCTACTTCTACTTGTGCTCACAGTTTCTCACCAATGGCAATTGTGGGTAATCAATGTTTTTATTCTCACTCACTCAAATCTCATGTTTCACCTTTCTGGAATTTCAAACCGAGTTTCAGCTCCAGGCCTCTGTCTCTTTCTATTGCCAGAAAATGGCCCAGAACATTTTCTCAAGGTGAAGTCTTTAATTTTAGTATCAGCATATTCTTGCCTTCCTTTTTCCCTGGAAACTTTATTTGAAGAAAATTAACCCCGGAAAATTTGAAGAGAGGGGGTGCATTGTTTATATTTATATTTCAACAACGAAAAAATGATTCCAAATTCATTTTCTTGATGTTACTGGGAAGGTAAATTTGTTATGAAAAGATGAGAAACATGCTAGATGTTATTCACTGTAAATAATACTCATTATGAGAGAATAATGGTTAGTGGGACTGTACCATATTGCTCTCAGTCAACTGCTTACTGTGTTGGGCTTGAAATGGTTCATATGTAACCGACATAGAACACTATGTTAACTGAAGTTGATTGGTTAACATTCTTGCATAATTTAGGTCATGTAGCATAGATCCAAATGTTACCATAAAAAATACAAATTAGAGCGCATACCTGTAATTTTACTACATAATACCGTCACTAAGGGTAAAATTCAGAGGTCAAAACTGTGCTAACTTCACTATAACCCAACGAAACACTTGAGTTTTATTTGCATTAGAAAGCAAACCGTGGAGTGTTTGTTCGGTGCACTTCGTGAGTCTCAGTGGTTCTGAAATATGAATGTTGATCTGTGAGAAGATTTTCTCATAAATAGCTAAGGGGTAATGCAACTTTATCGTTTATTCTTTTTATCAGTGAGATCTGTTGTTGCTCCAACTGAAGCTTCTGCTGGCTTTGAGGAAATGGTCTTGGGAACTCAACGCAAGTATTACATGTTAGGTGGAAAGGGAGGGGTTGGAAAGACGAGTTGTGCTGCATCCCTTGCTGTAAAATTCGCAAACAACGGTCATCCCACTTTAGTGGTTTCAACTGATCCTGCACATTCTTTGAGTGATTCTTTTGCCCAGGTTGTGAATTGTGATTATTTTACTTCCAACTTTCCACAATTTTTCGAACAATAATATTTTTGTCACAGAATTTATATGATGTGCCTTCCTTCTAATGCTTGTCATGCAGGATTTAACTGGCGGAACGCTAGTACCAGTTGACGGACCGTATTCTCCTCTGTTTGCCCTTGAGGTGTGTAGAGGAATGTTAGTTTCTATTAGTGATAGACTAATAGACTTACTATCAAAATGGTGACTGTTTGATGATCTAAAGAAACAGCCTTTATTGTGTCTCAAGCAGCAACTTTGAATATATTTCTGTGACAGATAAACCCTGAAAAAGCAAGGGAAGAATTTCGAAGTGTCACTGGGGGAAGTGGAGTCAAAGACTTCATGGATGGCATGGGTCTTGGGATTCTTACAGAACAGGTAAACCTTGTCATGGTCAGAGTTGCTTAGTATTTCTATTCTCGATCAAATTAGAAGAAATTAAAGTGCTAAATTCAACTATCTTAAGCAGATCAAATTTCCAAATAGTGCTGGTCATGCATAAAGGAAGAAAATTCTAATTTAAGATCGAAATTCAGAGTACTGTATTAAGATTAGATAATTCGTCCTTCACCAAGGTTGTTCCTCTTTTTTCTGCATTTATCCTCTTTCAGCCTATGCAAACACGTTTATATTTGTCTATTGATGATCTCGAGTGCGAATGGACTTGACATTATAGAACTTGGAGGCCCTGTGCATGCATATCAGAGAAGAGGAGAGAACTTTTGTGCTATAAACAAAATGACTGTAGTCACTTTTTTCCCCTTGAATTCTAGATGTAATATCTACTGCTAATGTGACAATGAAGATCTTCACATCTTCCTGTTCGGGTAATTGATTTACCTAAAATAACTTCGATAATGGCACAATACAGCTACTGAGGCAAAACATCTCTGCAAATGTTAGCTTGAGCAATAGGTTCTTCAGCCTTTAGCTGATTTTGGAATTGCAATTGGAATACATTTTCCCTAGATTTTTTTTTTTTTGGTGATTGGATCTTTGGTACTAGGAGAAAACTGAATAAGTGGGCAGACACTTTTTGGCATCTGGTGCTCTGGTTGAAAGTGTAGTGCTCAGAAGGTTTTCTGTCTTCTGTCATCTGCCACTTGAAAATTCCTGGTCTTACACATCTGGCAGTTAATGATTAGAAAGCAGAAATCGAGCCAATGAGTCGTATGGATGTTTGCAAACAAACCTAACTCATTTAAGAATTGCTATTTTCAACTTCCATTTGTTGATTTTCGTTGAAGAGGAAGTATTTCAAATCTTAGTAAAAACATTCTTTCTTCAAATTAACTGCATGCCCATGTGCATATGCATGTATGAATAGAAGGGAAGGGAAAAACTCTTTTCCCTTGCTGACTCTTCTTGGTATTGCCGAGTCTTCCAACTTGTAATATTTTTAAGGTTTTATGTCTTCCACTGGTCAGTTTTTTAGTTGAGGTGTTATGCCTCTTTGTTTTACCTTTTACTTCCATGCACATGCTTGTAGATATCAATTTGATCCAATGATATATGAAGTACTTCTTACTGCTGTGGTTTGATTCATCACTTGAATGAATTTGACTCCTGCATTTTATTTCATCCTCATTAACTATAGTTGTCTTATCACTTTCCTTCTTTCTCCATGACCAAATGTAATGTCAGGAGTCCAAAGTGCTTGTACTTAATGAAGAGGTAGTTATCTTGACAAGCCTTTCTCTAATGTTCTGTTATCTTTTGAATTTGTGGGGGCTAGCTTGGGGAACTAAAGCTGGGAGAGTTGTTGAACTCACCTCCGCCTGGTTTAGATGAAGCTATTGCGATTTCGAAGGCATGTATTCTGTTTAGAGCAAAAGGCAAGAGATTTAGTTCTGCATGCTTTTTTACTGAATTTAAGAACATTGACAGGTTATGAAATTCCTTGATTCACAAGAATACAATATGTTTACTCGAATAGTGTTTGACACTGCCCCCACGGTGAGGAAAACAATAATTCTTTTGTATTTTATTTCATTGAAGAAAGTTCCTTGGCCTTGACAAGTGGTTCTACAGGGTCACACATTACGGCTGTTATCCTTGCCTGACTTCTTGGATGCATCAATTGGGAAGATATTGAAGGTAACAATTTTGGTCTTTAATCCAGTTTTACAATGGCCTTTACTATATATATAAACATAGTACTATAGATGCCACTCCGAATCAAACTAATATTCCTTTTGTTCTTAAATCTGGGTCGTGGGAGTTTGAGTTTACATAGAATCTGGTCTCTCCTCGAGTTATATCTAGTTTTCCTAGGTCTTCTAGTCTGTAAAAAATTTGTATAGCCACCTGTTGGTCTCAGGATTAATCTTTTCTAAAAAACGGTTACAGCAAAATCATAAAAATTTACAGAATCGTAAAGAACACAAGTATTTTTCGCCCCTAAGGGCCCGGATGTTCAGCCAAAGGCCTACTCACCCGTTGAGCATCTACAAAAATAGATTAGGCTCGAATCCACTAAGAATCACAAAGAATCGATACAAGAATGTATGAAGAAACTGTCGTTTCTTCAATATCAGATTTCTATCGCCTCTCTTTAACATAACACTCAGTTTCTACAATCTCACAGATCATATATCACATACAACCCTAACATCACTCAGATTAGATATTGCTTTCAAAAATTATAAGAACATGACAAGTTCAGAAAACCCTCAGAGAGAAGACGAAGAAAACCCTAAAACCATTCACTCAGAGATTAGAGTGAAAATGAAGAGGCACGATGCCTTTTAACAATCCACCAAAAATCAACAATCCAATAGTCACAAAGATGCCAGGTGTATGGTCCACAGATCTTGCGATTGAAAAAGAAAAAACGCGTTTACAAAACAACGCCTTTCATTTCCCACAAAAAAGATTCAAGCCGGCCAGGCCCAATATTTCTTAAGTTGGGCCAACCAAGAATAGGGAGGCAGCCCAATCAACAATCTCCACCTTTCTGATTTATTCTTGGTATTCCTTTGTGGATTCAAACTTAGACTAATTTTGTTTCATTTGCTCTATAAAACTTGTAAAAAAGAAAACGAAAAGCAGTCAGTTGATTTTTTTTTCAAAAATAACCAATAAAATTCAAATATCAAATTGAATTCATTACCTTCAAAGTATGTTCAGAATTTTCAGACAATTTCTGAACTTGTTTAGAGGTAAAACCTTAGTACCAATATCAGAAGGATTAAATTCAGTTGGGATTTTAACCAAGTTAATTAATCCCTTTTCGACCATATTTCTAACAAAATGAAATTTAATATCAACATGCTTAGTCCTATCATGATATACAGGATTTTTACTCAAATGAATTGCACTCTGGTTATCAGTACAGATTCTAACTGTTTCATTCATGAAACCAATTTCATTTAATAGCCCCCTTAACCACAGACCTTCTTTAACGGCATCACATACTGCAATATATTCAGCTTCAGTGGAAGATAAAGCTACAAGTTTTTGTAGTTGGGACTTCCAACTAACACAACCATCACAAAGAGTAAACACATAGGAGGAGGTTGATCTTCTTTTATCTAAATCTCCCGCAAAATCAGAATCCGTATATCCTTTCAGGATAATGCCTTCATTACATCTTTGGAATTTTAATCCTAGTTCAATTGAGCCCTTTAGATATCTTAACATTCCTTTGATTGCTAACCAATGTGTTTCACCTGGATTTGCCATAAATCTACTTAGTATGCTTATACCATGGGCTAGGTCAGGTCTTGTACATATCATAAGGTACATAATAGAGCCAACAACATTTGCATAGGGTATCTTACTCATTCTGTCATATTCTTCATCAGTTTTAGGTGACTGTTCACTAGAAAGTTTGAAGTGTTTGCAATGGGTAAAGATACAGGCTTACACTCAGTCATAGCAAACGTCTCAAGTATCTTATTCACATAAGTATTTTGATTTACATACAGAACACAATTCTTTCTATCCCTATTTATTTCCATACCTAAAATTCTCTTTGCTTGTCCTAAATCTTTCATTTCAAATTCAGATTTAAGTTTTTCTTTAACAGAAATAATTTCAGATTTATCATGGCAGGCAATAAGCATATCATCAACATATAATAATAGATAGAGAGAATCAGGTCCACCTGAACCTTTGAAGAAGAAACAGGAGTCAAAATTACTCTTAAGAAATCCCAAATTTTGAACATAAGAGTAAAATTTCTTATACCACTGTCTTGGTGCCTGTTTCAAACCATATAGAGATTTCTTTAATAAACAAACCTGTTCAGATTTTGTCTTTAGTTCAAAACCCTTTGGTTGGTTCATATAAATTGTTTCTTCAAGGTCACCATTTAGGAAAGCTGTCTTAACATCGAGCTGGTCTAACTCCCAGTTGAAGTGGGCTGTTAAGGCAAGTAAGATTCTGATAGAGGTGTATTTAGCAATAGGTGCAAAAATTTCATTATAGTCAATACCCTCTCTTTGTGTAAAGCCTTTTGCCACAGGTCTGGCTTTATATCTAATGCCCCCAAGATTAGGTTCGCCTTCTTTAATTTTATAAACCCATTTGCAATCAACAACCTTCTGATTTTTGGGTCTATTGACAAGAATCCATGTATTATTTTTAGTTAAAGAGTCCATTTCCTCTTGCATGGCTTTCAGCCAGAGTTTGGATTCCTTACAATTTTTAGCTTCTTCAAAGGTTGTTGGTTCAGAATTAACATAATCGAGTTCAGTGTAGAATGTTACAAATTCATCTGTATTAATTCTTGTAGAAGGGAACCTATTTCTTCTAGTTCTGTCTCTAGTCAACTGATAATTTTCAAGGGCAGTATTCTGAGATTGATTTTCAGCATCAGACTCATCTTGAGGTTGATCTATTTTAGATTGAATAGGCTCCACCTCAATCGAATTATGCGGTTCATTAGAGTTACCTTTTGGACCATCCAGGACAGTTTCTTTAACAGGAAGGGTCATATCTGTATTTCGTGTTGGGAGAATCTTACAAGGGAACTTGCTTTCATCAAAAATCACATTTCTACTGATAATGACCCTGAATCCACCTTTTTCTCTCTCCCATAATCAATAACCCTTTGTTTCTTCCCCATAACCTAGAAAAATACATTTTTGAGATCTAGGTTCTAGTTTGCCTACATTTTGATGAGAGTAAGCAGCACAGCCAAAGACCCTTAATTTCAGGTAATCAGGAGAATTTCCAGACCATAAGTGTTCAGGGATTTGAAAATCAATAGCACTTGAAGGTATTCTATTTATCAGATAAGTGGCAGTTTTTAAGGCCTCTCCCCAAAAGATCTTTGGAAGACCAGAACTAAGCAACATACACCTAACCTTTTCCAATAAGGTTCTATTAATCCTTTCAGCAATACCATTTTGCTGAGGAGTGTGTGTTACTGTTCTGTGCCTCAAAATTTCAGATTCTTTGCAAAGAAGATCAAATTCAAAATTACAAAATTCAAGACCATTATCTGTTTTAAGTGCTTATACCCTTTTGTTTGTTTGATTTTCAATCATCAGCTTCCACTATTTAAAATTTTGGAAAGTATCTGATTTATGTTTTAAAAGAAAAGTCCAAATTTTTCTTGAAAAATCATCTACAATTAGTAAATAAAATCTAAATCCACTTAAAGTGTTTACAGATGCTGGACCCCATAGGCCAGCATGTAAATACTCTAGTATAGAATTTGATTTGTGAATTCCGATTTTAAAAGGCAGTTTATTTTGTTTTCCAATAACACGGTCTTCACAAAATTCTAGTTTTTCAATACTATCCTTTCCAAAACATTTTAATTTGTTTAAAATTGTTAATCCCTTTTCACTTATATGGCCAAGTCTCCTGTGCCAAATCAGGGTCTTATTGTCATGTGATTTTACAATTGCAGAACTATTTCCAACTAATGGTTTAACTTGCAATGTAAAGATTCCATTTGATTTAAGAGAAGAGATTATTTCTATGCAGTTAAGGCTAATTACAGTTTGTCCTTTATGAATCCTAATTTCATATTCATCATCCAATTGCCCCAAAGAAATCAAGTTTCTTTGAAGATCAGGTACATATCTGATCTGATACAATTCAAGAATATAGTTGATCTCCAGTAACAACTTAAGGTTTCCAATACCCCTTATTTGACAGGTCATATCATTTCCCATCTGAACTTGACCCCCACTATTCAGGTCAGTATAATCAGTGAACCATTCTTTAATGGGACACATGTGGAAAGAACACCCAGAGTCAAGAACCCATTCATTTTGGTTTCTTTTGGTTGTTGTAACAAATACAACTCCCTGTATATCAGGTTCAGTATTGCAGACAACAGCTGTAGACCCATCTAAATTTGGTTTACCTTTCATGTCTGATATTTTCTTAAAACAGTCATTTATGAGATGTCCTGCCTTACCACAGTAATAACATTTTCTGGCTGGGAACTTAGGTTTTGATTGATTTCTGTTTTGATTTCTGAATTTAGGAAATTGAGGCTTTCCCTTCTTGTGTGAATTAAAGTTACATTGATTATTCTTTTTGTTTTGATTTACTTTCTCTCTTATATTCAAGTCTTCCCCAAACTTAAAATCTTTAGATTCTATTTTAAGTTCAAGTTCTTTATTTCTGAGAGCTGATATCACAATATCAACAGTAAGATCAGTTCTCCCATACTCTAAAGCATTTCTCAGGTCTCTGTATTTATCACCTAATGCATTTAATAGAGCAACAACTTGTTGATCTTCAGACAATTCCTCTTCACAATCAGTCAGTTCTTGAATCAATCTAGTGAATTTATCAAAATTATCTTCTAGGCTTAAGGAGGGATCAAATCTAAAGTTATAGAATTGCCTAAGGAGATAACATTTGTTGGGCATAGATTTAGTCAAGTAGAGAGATTCAAGTTTGGTCCATAAGGCTTGAGTAGTATTTGTTTCCCCAACTTTTCTTATTACCCCATCAGACAGATGTAAGAAAATTGAACTCCAGGTAATCTCATCTAACTCCTGTCTCCTATAGGCACTCATCTCAGTAGGCCATACCCCATTAATGTCCCCAGCACACCTCTGTTGTAATAACAGAGCCCTTATTTTCTGGCGCCATAAACTAAAATCTCCAATCCCTCTCCAAATTTC